CCGGATTGAAGGGAGCGTCTTTGCACTCCTTGCTGCGTTTCAACACACTTTTAGTCCAGAATCCAGAGCCCTTGACTTACCTCGGCATACTGCAGGAACGAGCTGTAAGTCCGCGGCCAGTGCGCAGACAGAATTATAAGCGAGAGGCGAGGCAATAGGAAGGAAGGGAGAAAGTGCCTGGAAACTGTGGCGCACACCCACGGTGGGGGATGGAACAAGAACCGGGTAGTTCTGACTAAATGCTGTTGATTTGTTAGTTCACGGTTTTTAAACTTTAAAAAGGTAAAAATTAAATGGCAAATGTACAGTTAGAAAGAACGAATACAGAAAATGAAGCAGATGCTTTCACCAAACACAGTAAGTAAATGAATGAATAGAGAAATTTGAGCAAAAATGTAATTTACGAGTAGTAATGGGTTCTACAGTCTGAATCTTTTTGAAGCTTTAATAAACTCCAGCAAGGCATCGGCAACTTTCCCGCCAGTGAACCCCAGCGAAAAAGCCCCCACAGAAAGTACATTAGGAGTGGTCAATCCAATAATACGAGACGGAAGACGGCATCTATTCGTATTTTGCGCAATGCAGCGTATTTTCTACAAAATAACAGATAATGTTTTGATGTCTCAGGGACTCCACGAAACCAACAATTAGGGGAAACAGCCAGATGAGCTCTTTGTAAATAAAAACTTAGATATGAAGTACGACACCTCAGCCTTGTGGTTGCAGCTTCAACTGCACGCGAGTCACAACTGTTCCAACGATGATTTAGGTGTTGAAATACAAATGTGTTTATTACAAATAGCAAAAAAATTCTTCTAACACAGTTTTTCTCCTAAATCAAGCCCCTACAACAAATTTATATGCTGGAAGTATGTGAATAACTGGGTCATTTAATGATGGCTTAGCTAATGCATCCGTCATTTCATTGAGGAAAATTCCCTTATGCCCTGGTACCCAAACCAACTTAACGAACTGTATATACGGTGGGACTAATCATTTAAAAGTACTCAGCACGTGGGAGTTGTCATTTGCAGTGAGAAAAGAACACGCCCACAGCAAATCAGTTAAAATTATTGTCGAACTAGTTGGTGCAGTTAATTTGTGGGGAGCCGAAATCACCGCAAAAAACTCTGCTACAAAAATGGGCACAAAATCTGAAATGCATAGAGAGAATGACCAATCTAGAATAGGGGCGAATATCCCGATTCCACATTTTTCTTCATTTTGCGAAGCGTCTGTCGCAATGACTGTCCTTATTGATGAATGAACCAGGTTATCAATCGGAATAGTATCTAAAGTGCGGTCTGACATTAGTTTCGCTTGTTTTGGCAATATTTCGTCAAAATGTATTTCGATGGATCTGTTGCTATCACTGAGTGGAGACACGACACTCAATTGGACATTTAATTTGTCAAGAAAGCTCTGTATAAGGAAAACTTGAGGCGTGTGAAATATTGGCCAATATGCTCCAAAAAAAAATGCAGGCTGGGAGATAAAAACTGTTTCGGAGCGTCTTGCTGGGGATTCATAGAGTTTTAAATATGATTTTACTGCCAATAATTTGAAACGTAAATCAAGTAATGGGAGTCTAGCTTCCATATGCAAGACTTTAACGGTTACAAATTTAGGAAGGCCTAAACACAGACGCAAGGCTTGCCTCTCAAGCATTACAAGCGGGTGAAGCTTATAAGCAGGAGCGCCAGCATATAATAGGCATTCAAATTCTACCAGCGGTCAAACTTACATGCAGAATATTGATAAAAGCGTTTGCCTTCGCATGCCAAATCGACTGTGACTAATCTTGCGTAACAAACTGACCACCCTAACACCCTACACTGATATGTAATCGATGTGATCCTTCCAAGACATGGAGTGATCATATAGCACACCAAGGTATTTTATTTGCTCAACTTGCGCAATACACTCTAGATGACAATAGAGAAAAACATGAATGGGGTCTTTCAAAGGAAATTGCAGTATGGAGCATTTACGCACATTCAGATGCAGGTGAATTTCATCAAGCCAATAATTTTTAGAGCTAATACGTATGACTGTAGCCCGTGATATAGATTGTGAATATTGTCGGCCGCAGCAAAAAAATGCGATGTCATCCGGACAACCATATCTGTGCATGTTGTCATGTCGTGGTATGGAACTCACTAGTATATTAAATAATACAAAAGAAAAGACTGCCCCTTGCGGAACGCCTCGTGTTTGCGCGTACGTAGACGAAGAAATGCCACTTTGGGAACAAAAGAATGTCCGATTACACAAAAATTCCTCAATTCATGCCGTAATGTAATTTGGGAGCTTTATGTTGTGCAACTGTTTAACTAAAACTACATGCTGAACGCTGTCATACGCTTTCGCGATGTCCAACGTTACTAATGCGGCATACTTTCTTTCACGCTGAGCTGTCCGAATCCGACTCAGAATATCTGCATGTGCATGCCATATCGAGAACCCTGATCTGAATCCAATGCGAGACGGATTTAGAATG